CGGAGGTTGTTCTTGTTACAGTACCTTATCTACTTTTCAGACCCCTTGCATTAGAATTAGAGGGTAGGCAGTTCTAGTATTTTGCCCCCCATTTTGCTTCAATTAGAAATGAAAGACACACACCTCTGTAGTAAGGTTATCTGGTTGTCTGATTGTCTGTGCTGCTCCTCAGCCATTGTCATAACTAAGCCATATTTTTCAACTGTAGTGACATCGTAATACAGACACAGACACACACACACAGATTTGTAGCATCTGTGCCAGAATTTTGTATGAACATTTGTATATACTAATACAGAAAATTCACAAATCTTCCAGCAGGCACGTTAACCTCTCACAATGTGAGATTTTGGATTCTTTTGTAAAACTCTCATGACTCTGTATTCTGGAAATGTGTTAATTTTTTTTTCCATCTCCCTCTTGTTTTTCTTTAATGAGAGAGATGTGTGGCTGTAGATTGTCCTTGCTTTCTATACTTTTTTTCTCCCAAGATATGAAATGTGTTCTTGTGTGCAGTGGAAATCACCCCCAACCTGGATTGCAGTTTGTGCAAGGTGACAGTGTGGGCTGTGAAAACTTCTGCGGCTGCTGTCTCCTGTTGGCTGGGTAAATATTAGAAGCTGTGGAAATACATCTGTTGAAGAATGGTGAGCACTCGCGTTGTGCCACTATTGTTTATTTCAGAGAAGGCCGTGATTTAGAAAAGAATTGCAAACCTAAACCTATCCCCATTTGTTGAAAATATGAAATGTTTATTTCAGTGAAAAATATTTCAGTATTTAATTCCTTTAGTGAACTGTGGCCTTCAACACATAGCTGTTTCTTCCGAAAAAATTTATTTATTTGGAGGATTTAAAACTGGGTCTTCAGGAGCTTACCACATTTAATTTTATAGACTGTTAAAACAAAATACAAACAAAATTTTGTCCTTTTCAAAATAATGTATTCAATGCTGAATCCCTTTTTGAATGGAAAAGAATATCTCTGTAGAGATAGATTCCTTCAAAAGCACTGGTCCAAGGTTGTGGAAAGGTTTTATGTGAGAATATTTATATTTTTAACCACATCCTTACACTTCAGATCTCTCTCTGCTTTTTCAAACAATGGATGTGTATTTATAGTGTAAATATTCTCACTGAAGCAAACACAATGTGCTGTGCTACTCACATGTACAATATATAGCATCTCATGTCCACTTAGATTAGAATGCACAGCTTTAACACTGCTCAAAGATGACAGTATATCTATGCGGAAGCATTGGCATCCAGAAGGCACATTTTATAGACAAAAAATAATAGCAAGACTTAATAAGAAGAAAAGAAATACAAACTGCTTCCCCTAATTTTTAGTTGTCTGGAATTTGAAGCTTTTTCTCCCGTTTCCACCTTGCATTTGCCTCAGTCTGTCCATGCCCAGAGAAGGAAGAGAAAAGCTCATGCTATGTTCTGTAATTTCTTCTGCTTTGGATATAGTTTTTGTTGAGGAGGATCACTGCTTATGTCTGCTCTTGATATTTGTGTGGGTTTTGGGACATGTGTAAACCAGCAACATCTTTGCAGATGCAGGAGTATCTGGAGAAGATTGCTGAGAGCTGCTCAGTCACAGAGATATATGCTGTCTGAAATCTGTCTGTTGATCTACCTAGCATAGTTTTGAGGGAGAATCTGAATGTCTCGTGCTTTTATTTAAGGTAGAATAATATTACTTGTCTCTGCAAGTAATAATAGTAGGAATACTTTTGCTATATTTAAAATTCTGAAATATACTTGTCAAATTTCTGTGAGAATTTTAGTAAAACATACATGTTTTTAGAAATTAACATTTTTCATTTTGTTTGCTTCTGTGTTAGCTCTTACAGAAAGCTTTTCAGATAGAGAATTGCACTGACCTTGCAAAATACCATATGTTGAGTGTGCTGCTGTTCATCTCATAAGCATTAGTAGTCTTGAATGAACAGGTATTGTCTGTATTCTATGATAACTAAAGGAGTTAAATAAAGTCTTTTTGATTGCAGTGAAAGAAATTAAACATTACAGATAAATTACTCTCTTTTTTGCTAAGAAGCATTATTTCTTTGTGTGATTTCAGGTAACTGTACAGACATGTGGGTGTGCACATCATGCAAATTCAGGTTCTTATTAGAAGCTGGCTTAAATTCTGAAATCATAGAAAATCACAGTTCTGACCAAATGTACATTCTTAGCTCTTACAGTATATGTTGATAAAGCAGTGAACTCAATTGTGTAATAGTCTCAGCAAAACCTAAGAGCAGGAAAAGTAAGTAAAAGATGGATATTTCACCCTAACAGTTTCTTTTCTTCAGCATTTTAACACAGATATTACATGTAGTTTTAATGGGTTTTTTGTGTGGTTTAGCTCCTTTTTATTTTTTATGGCAAAGTGCAAAAGTATGAGACTAGACAAAACACACCATCATAAATAAATAAAGGAAAATAAAAGATACAGCAGTGGATCATGTAGAGTTTCTAGTTAAGCAGATATTTAAATGGTAATATATAACAATTATAAAAATATATGGTTTTGCAATTTAGGATTAAGTAAAGAGATGTAAGCAGGTAATTCACATGGACTCTTACAAAATGCTGTATCAACTATAGAAACATCCAGCATCTTGCAACAGCTTTTTACGTCTAGTTATTAAAAATATTGGATTGTGAAAATTAGAGAAATTTGGCGTGGTTGAACTGAGGTTAGTGAGAGGATAGCTGTTCATAAAAGCTCAGAATGCGTGTCCCCTCAGTTTTCAGCTTGTACTTGGTGACTCTGCTGATCATTATTACATTGGGTTTGGGTGTTGTTGTTTTTTTTGTTTGTTTGTTCGGTTTTTTTGGTTTTGTTTGGGTTTTTGTGTGTGTGTGTGTCGTTTTCTTTTTTTTAATTATTTTAAAATAAAAATGCCAGATGGTAACTGCCCGTTGTTATGCGTTTTAGGTCTCAGAGGGGTTTTTTTCTATTTCAAAGTAATTTCAAAATCAGAAACCATATTCCTCTTTACCTGTTCTTTACTTATCTGAAACTTTATAGTCTTTTGCCTTTAGAAACACCCGCGAACAGGCATGTTGAATGAGAGGGCTAAGAGATCCTAGACTGTAGCTGTGGGAGTGAATTCTGCTTGCATAGCTAGAGTTCAAACTGCGGCAGTACTGCCATGCTTAAATGTGTGCAGAGTGCTTTAACAACAGACAGGGAAGCTGACTGCTACCTTAATTCTTTTACCGTTTCTGCATTTTGTTCTTCATTTTTTAACTAAACTCCTGTTTGAGAATATTTTTTGTCTTGTTTTATAATGTTTTTCTGGCATCTTTCTGGCCTTTGGCTCCAGGATTATTTCTGTGGTGACTTGTTGTGCTTGGTCCTCACCCATCCTTTTAAACATGTTAAAAGCACCTGAGGCTGATGTCTGTGTAAAGAATTGGGCCTGCTTAGCACTTTTTTAAAAACTAAAAGATCAAATTATCTTATGAAAAATGTGACACTTAGAGGACAGGTGAAACATGCAGTGGGCATCTTAAGGTTCAGCACAAGCCCAGTATTAGATGGACTACTTTTCTGTTTCATCTTAGAAGACCAGGCTGAAGTATTTAGGGGCTGCATTAAGACTGAATTACAAAGGTGAATACGTAATGCAGTACTGACTGTAATATTGTTACTTCTCTTAAAAAAAAAAAAAAAGACATTTCATATTACAATGGAAAAAGATTCTTTTTATTTTTCAGAAAAGGCATTTCAGAATATATTAGCAACTGTGTACAAAAACCAGTTCAACTTGTAGTTATGCTCCCCCCAATTGAAGAAGACCTCAGCTTTGTTAACATGATAATACATATTTTCTTCATATCACATAGAAGCAGAAGAGCCTCTTTTCTGCCTTTCTTTCAGTATTGTACAGTGGAAGGACACAGGACACATTTCAGCATCACTTGCTGCAGAGTTCACCTGACAAGGCAGCACTTTTTTATTCAATTACTGAAAATTGTTCACAATCCATGTTTTCTACCTTGACACTCTTACAAATGATCCACATTCCATTAGCATTGTGATTTCTTTAAGCTTCTTTTACAAAACTGGAGGGAAATGTGTACAACTATGTTTCCTGCTTTGCAATGAAAGTATACATTTATCACTTAGGTACATGTAAGCCACTTCTGTGAATTGGGCCCTTGGAGTAAATGTGTTTCGATGTAATGGCCATCTGCTCATGAATATCACATTTGCTAGTTTAACAAATAGTTTGATATAGATAAACACATAGTTTGGTGAGATCATATAGTTTCATGGGTAGGAATGCAGTAGCAAAGTTTTATATTTTCCATATGCCAATAATCAAGCTGCGATGAAGGTCTCAAGGTTTTTGTTTGTTGTTTTCAAAAATTAATCTCCAACATTTACTACTGCTCTCAGATGGACCTAGTACAGGCAGCTGACGTGACACATTTGCTCCGTATAGTTTCATTAGAGTCAGGTGTCAGTGACACAGAAATGGCCCCTGAAGCTGTAGCTAAAGCCAGCTTGCAAGAAAAGACAGAACTGACAAGATGGAGTTGGTCAAGCTAGTGATTCTGAGTGCCTTGGTCTGAGGGGTGTAGGTCAGCTGCAACATATTACACATACATACGTAGTACAGTAAATATAGCTCAGTACCAGGTCATTTTTTAAGCTGATAAAAACTAGTTTAGTAGGCTCTTTGTTTGATTTTGGTTTTTGATATTATGGTATCTGCTGTGGTCCTGGCATGTACTTTACCGCTGAAGTCAAAGTTTATTCTTCAGTGTCACTGATATCAAACTGTAACCGTGACAGAGTATGTGGATTTATAGGAGGAGTGTGTGAGTGATGGCGAGTTTGGTTTCTGGATATATCTTCAAAATTTGTCTTCATGGTTACTGCTTTTAATACAGAAGACAGCAATGTAAAATGTGCGTGTTTGATAACTTTGTCTTGTTTCCCTCCCACCCCCCATCTCCCCTCCTGTATTTTAGCATATGTTCCTGAGGAAGAACTGAAAGCAGCAGAAATAGATGAAGACAGCGTGGAAGATGATGGGCTGTCTCTGGACATCCAGGAGAATGAGTATTTGTGCAATGAAGAAGCGGAGATCAAAGAGGCTCAAAGCTACCAGAACTCCCCAGTCAGCACTGCAACTAATCAGGATGCAGGCTATGGTTCGCCGTTTAGTGAAAACAGCGATCAGCTGGCCCATTTCAAAAGCACTTCCTCTAAAGAAGAGAAAGAGGATCCTCAGTGCACAGACAATGTTTCCTATCCACAGGACAGCTTGGCACAAATAAAAGCTGTGTATGCAAATTTGCTTTCAGAGACTTGCTGGTCCAGTTTAGCTTTGGACTTAAAGAAATCCAATCCAACCACCAGCAACAATGGAATCAGCCAGAATGAAAACACCACCAATACCGACACCAATGCCAACTCCCAGAGTACTAGTACTACCAGTACCAACACTAGCACCAGTACAACTACCAGTAATACTAGTAACAGTAATAATAACAGTGGTGGCTCAGGTTATGACTGGCACCAAGCTGCATTAGCTAAAACTTTGCAGCAGACCTCATCGTATGGACTTCTCCCAGAGCCTAGTCTTTTCAGCACAGTACAGCTTTACCGGCAAAACAATAAACTTTATGGGTCTGTGTTCACCGGTGCTAGCAAGTTCCGATGCAAAGACTGCAGTGCAGCCTATGACACACTGGTGGAGCTAACAGTGCACATGAATGAAACTGGACATTACCGCGATGACAACAGAGATAAAGAAGCTGATAAGACCAAACGGTGGTCAAAGCCTAGAAAACGATCACTTATGGAAATGGAAGGCAAAGAGGATGCCCAAAAAGTGCTGAAGTGCATGTACTGTGGGCATTCGTTTGAGTCTTTGCAAGACCTCAGTGTCCATATGATAAAAACAAAGCATTACCAGAAAGTGCCTCTGAAGGAGCCAGTACCAGCCATCACTAAATTGGTCCCTTCTACCAAAAAGCGAGCACTTCAGGACTTGGCTTCACCTTGTTCACCTGAGCCAACAGGGATCACTGCAGAAGCTTCACTGGGTGAGTCTGCAAAGGATCAGAAAACTGCCAATCCCTATGTGACTCCAAACAACCGCTATGGCTATCAAAATGGTGCTAGCTACACTTGGCAGTTTGAGGCACGCAAAGCCCAAATACTGAAATGCATGGAATGTGGCAGTTCCCACGACACTTTGCAGCAGCTCACTGCTCACATGATGGTCACTGGTCATTTCCTGAAGGTGACCAATTCTGCTTCCAAAAAAGGCAAACAGCTAGTGTTGGACCCTGTGGTGGAGGAGAAGATACAGTCTATACCTCTTCCACCCACCACCCACACAAGGCTACCAGCCTCCAACATTAAAAAGCAGCCTGATTCCCCAGTGGGCTCCACAAACTCGGAGGAAAAGAAAGACCTAGAGAAGGAAAAGGTGGTGGTCACTGAAACAGAAAAAAAGATTAAAGAAGAGAATGAGGACTCGACAGAGAAATTTGAGCCAACAACTTTGTATCAATACCTCAGAGAGGAGGACCTAGATGATAGTCCCAAAGGCGGAATAGACATACTGAAATCCCTGGAGAACACAGTGACAACAGCTATCAGCAAAGCTCAGAATGGAGCCCCTTCCTGGGGAGGGTATCCCAGTATTCATGCAGCTTACCAGCTCCCGGGAACAGTCAAACCCCTTCAGCCTGCAGTGCAGAGTGTTCAAATGCAGCCGTCTTACGCAAGCAGTGTAAAATCACTGTCATCAGAACACAACGCACTCATCCATTCCCCAGGCAATCTCACACCCCCACCTCACAAGAGCAATGTATCTGCTATGGAAGAACTCGTGGAGAAAGTTACAGGTAAAATCAATGTGAAGAAGGAAGAAAAGCCTTTGGAGAAAGAGAAGAGTTCTCCAGTCAAACCTGTGTCACCTGCTGCTAAAGAAAACAAGGACTTCCCAAAAGCAGAAGAAATAAATAACAAACAGCAGCTGAAGAAGGGCTCTGAGTCAGAAGTTCAAAAGGTCAAAAAGGATAGTCCATCAGAAGCACATACGCCAAACGGTACAGAGCCACTTAAAACAAAGGTTGCAAATGGCTGTAACAATTTAGGAATTATCACAGATCATTCACCTGAGCCATCCTTCATTAATCCATTGAGTGCTTTACAGTCCATTATGAATACCCACTTAGGCAAAATTTCTAAGCCAGTAAGCCCCTCTCTGGACCCATTGGCCATGCTGTACAAAATTAGCAACAGCATGTTGGACAAACCCATTTACCCTACCACACCAGTCAAGCAGGCTGATGCTATCGACCGGTATTACTATGAGAACAGCGATCAACCTATTGATTTAACTAAGTCCAAAAACAAGCCTCTTGTTTCCAGTGTGGCTGACTCTGCTTCATCCCCGCTTAGGGAGAGTGCCCTGCTGGATATTTCCGATATGGTGAAGAACCTCACGGGGCGTTTGACACCCAAGTCTTCAACTCCGTCTACTGTGTCAGAGAAGTCTGATGCTGACGGGAGCAGTTTTGAGGAAGCTCTGGATGAACTGTCACCAGTACACAAGAGGAAGGGCAGGCAGTCCAACTGGAACCCTCAGCATCTTCTGATCCTTCAAGCCCAGTTTGCTTCCAGCTTGAGGGAGACCCCAGAAGGCAAATACATTATGTCGGACCTAGGTCCACAAGAGCGGGTACACATCTCTAAGTTTACTGGTCTTTCCATGACCACAATTAGCCACTGGCTGGCCAATGTGAAGTATCAGTTAAGGAGGACAGGGGGAACTAAATTTTTAAAGAACTTGGACACAGGACATCCTGTTTTCTTTTGCAATGATTGTGCCTCTCAGTTCAGGACTGCTTCTACATACGTAAGTCACTTAGAGACACACCTAGGGTTTAGTTTGAAGGATCTGTCAAAGTTGCCACTTAATCAGATTCAAGAACAGCAGAATGTTTCAAAAGTCCTCGCAAACAAGACTTTGGGCTCACTTGGAATTGCCGAGGAGGACTTAGGCTCCACATTCCAATGTAAGCTCTGTAACCGAACTTTTGCAAGCAAGCATGCAGTCAAACTGCACCTTAGTAAAACACATGGCAAGTCCCCAGAGGACCATCTGATCTATGTAACTGAGTTAGAAAAACAATAGCGTCCAGGTAAGCAGCCAGGTATGCAAGTGACCACAGGAACATTGCACTAAACTTCTTCATAGTACTGCACTAGGCCTGACCTGAGCCTCTGAAATCAGTCTTACTTTTGTTGCTGAACTGCCTATCTGGACCTTGGTTTTTCTTACACTTATTTTGTAGTTATATTTATATGCTCTTTGTCTGTGCATGGTTATTTTTTGTTTCTGTTTTTATTTTTTGTGAGTCAAAGTCTGACCTTTATTTTCAACATCTGTCCTTGATGTTAAGCTATCTTTTGTAGAATATAGTGGGAGACACTATTGAGAGACATTAATTTAGCCGTAAAGAAAGACACAAAGAACAATGATAAAGAGACATCCTAAAATTACAAAGTTGCCATGACAATAAAGGTCACAGAACCTGGTAGTGTCAAGTTTTAACCCTCTGAGAACTGTAATAGCATTTCTGTGCCTTTCCCAGTTACTAAATAAGTAAATAAGGAAAAACAAAACAAAACAAAAGGCTTAAAGGCATTTCATTCAAATAAAAGCTGTGTCAGAAGCAGGAGTTTTTTTTTTTTTTTTTTTTAATGAATGAGCTTCTTTTTTTTTTTTTTTTTTTAATGCAGAACTGGTTTGTGAAGATATTGTGCATGCAGTCCTTGGAAGAAGGAGAGCTGTGTAGTACTCGAGGGGTTAGGAAGCCACAACTGTATAAGTTAAATAATAATTAAAAAAAAGCAAACCAAGTTGCCACTATGCCCAAATCCTCTGGATGCTGATAATTGCCACTTTTTGGCAAAAAAAAAGAAAAAAAAAAAGTATGCAAGCTGTTATTTAAAACAAATGTAAAAATGCTTTTTCTTTCCCTTTTTTTTTTTTTTCTTTTTTTTTCTGTAAAATACTGCAGTTTATAGTTATTTACAAATGTTAAGCTTTGGTACAAGCTGACCTTTCTATAGTGTGCTGCATTGGTAAATGAAAACAAAAAAAATGGGGCAAATGTTGGATTCTGTTCCTTGTAAATTGCCAGCATCAGCTTAAAAAAATACATGTTACATATCGTACCATTTTAAACTGTTCAACTTTCTTTGTACCTTCTGGCTGTATGCTTTCTCTTTTAACTTTTTATATTGTCATTTTATATTCAATTTCTGTGTATATAATGTAAAACCACACTTTTTGAATAAAATTTAGTTCCTGCAGCTTGATATAAATAGAGGAATTTTACTGGCACCTGCATCTTTCCAGATGCATGTACGTAAAGGAACTATCTGACAAAAAAAAATAAATAAATAAAAATAAAGCAAGCAATGCACTATGAATTATACATTTTGATGTTTTATCATTAATATTGTACAGTACATTTTGGTTCACACAATTAAATCCACTGTTTTCTCAAGTGTAAAATAAACCCACATGCAGTTCTTGATTTACATACATTGTCATGTCGTCATTATACTGCCTTTGAGGTGTTATTCCAGCTGTAAGAGACATCGTTTATATAATCAACCAGCAAAAAACCTATTTGAAATCATCTCTCGCGATCTGGATGCTGACGTGTTTCGTTCGAAGCCGTAATACCGATAACCTCTTCGAAGAGATTTGCAGTAGGTGCACGTTGTGAAAGGTACAGAACCGGTGGGGCTCCGTCAATTAGTGAGGGGCATTCTGCTCCTCACTGAGGTACAAGAAGGGGCTGCAAAGGTTTCAACCAAGTTAATTTCCCTGTGCTGCATGACTGTACCCATAGCCATTTTCTGTGTGCGTTCAAAGACCGTTTCCTCCCTTCCTTCTCCGACAAAACACCTTTTGATTTCAACAGTAACATAGTCAGAGGCTGTGGCTCCTGCCCCTGCAGTCTGTTGAATGCTGCGGTGCTCGCCTTTCTGGCAGCGGTGAAGACCTCTGAGGCTTTGACACCAGTTTTTACTTACAGTACAAGAAGGCAGACCTGTGTTTCTCTGTACTTTTTAAATATTGCATTTTGAGGTAAGCTGAGTGCTATCATATCAGGAGTTTCCCTTAATCTTTATTTCTGTTCTGTTGAATGCAGATGTCATTTAGAATGTAAAAGAGAGCTGTCAGAGCCTTCACTTCTCTATCTCCTGAGTGCTTTGACAGTTACAGTGTATGAAAGCCTGGGATCTGCTATCCATTACACTTTTTGGAGGGGCTATTAAATATGAGGACCTAGAGGGGTTTGCTTTCACATGGTATTAGTGATACTATTGTGTTATATATACTACTGTGTACGTATATATATTTCTGTTCCTTCTTCTCAATTCTTCTGAAAGTAATTTAAATGTAAGATCTTCACTTCCAAATACAGCATAGTTCGACATTTAATCTTTAGTTACAAGCCCAGAAATATCTGTGCACTGTTGTGTTCTCTGTAAAAGCCTATCAGGTCCAGGTCAGTTGCATTTACACAGTGTTTCTAAGTAGTGCAGGAAAAAGCCATGAGGGTTTTTTAAAACGTCCCTTACTTTCTTCGCTGCTAACTACCTATGTCCTTCAGGGGATCTAGCCATTTAGACATTTCAGTTCAATTACTGGATGATTATGTGCTTTGGACCCAAGGGGTGGTGAGGAAGAAAAACAGTCAGGCCTATGGCCATAACACAGAGTCTTTAAATAATAACCCTTTGAAGTTTTGTTTACTTTACCACAGGCCTGCAAACATGTGATTATAAAATACGCTGTAGTACGTTGCAGTAGTGGGTGAAAAGGTTGAAAGGGAGAAATAATAGCTCTAAAGTGGGTTTGAATTTAATGTAAATCCATTAAACCTGATTTTGAAACTCGGCATGTAAAGTGAGTTCTCAACACCAGGTGACTCCCTCGAGAGGTGTTTATGACATTGCTAAATCCGTTCAGTTCTGATAGCTTCAGAATTGGACAATCACTCATCATCTGTGCCAGTGTCTGAAGAAAGTCCATTTAGAGTAAACCAGGAGCTTCACCTGGTGACTATGCTGATGTAACATTTTCTACGACTGAAATATGAAGTAGATGAAAATTGGAGGGCTCTGATGTTTCACCTGCTTAACAAAATGAAGCACAATGACAGTATGATCTCTATTGTTTGGATTATTTCCATTCTTGTTTTGAGTATTTTACTTCCAAAAAGTTTCCTTTTAAAAAAAAAAAGAAATTGCACAGTTTAAACCAGACTTATTCTTTCTCCCAGAATTGTTTTTTCATGTTTATTTATTCTTTATTTCAATAAGACTGCAACGAAAGTAAGTTTGTTCTATTCTATGAATAACTCCTAAAGCTACTGGATGGAAGAGAGCACATAGCCTTTCAGGGCTGGTCTTAAGAAATGTAAGATCTTTAAAACCCATAGTAGGCTCTGTAAGCCTGTATACCTGTTTTGTGATGTATCCAAAATCCATTGTGTCTGATTCTTTTCAGAGATGTATAAAGCTCCATTTTTTCAGCATTACATTACTGGCGCTCACATGTTTGCGTGTTATTTGTTCTCAGAGCAGAAGATCTTGGTTTGCCTATTTTTCCAGGTTTGATTTCTGCTTTGGTGCACTTTTCTGTATTGCTGTTTTGAAGTGGATGCAAACCACTGCAAATTTGGGAGATCTGTATACTGATGACATTAGTCTTGAATGAAATGACCTTTTTCTTTTTTTTAATAGTATTTAGTGGGTTATTCACTAATGTCTTCTGCAACATAACTTTGTTACAGCTTTCTCTGTATGGTTACACTGGTAATAATGACAACAAATATAATCTGTCCCTGTTGTGGACGACACTAAAATGCCATTGCAGTTAAGTATAAAGGCATAAAAATATACATATTATCTTGTGTTAGACTAATCAAGCACAGTGCTTCAGCTTCTGCCTGAAATTTCCAAAGCCACCTCAAATTTCAGTGTGTGAAATTATTTATTCTTTAAATTTCCAAAGCCACCTCAAATTTCAGTTTGTGAAATTATTTATTCTTTAAATAATGTAGCAGGGGTCCTGATTAGGAGACCTCCAAGGAGAGGCCAATTTCCATGTGGTGTGTTCTTGCAGCTCTGTAGGTGTTGGTCTCCTGGCTGATGCAGTATTGAGTTACTCTCCCAGCATGAAAGTAGCAGGAAGTGGGATTTCACCATCTGTTCACTGAAATTTAAAAGCAGGGTGCTTTTCTGTCCATGGATGAGAACAGAACGCTAATCCAAATTTTCTAGCCAGATACTAATCTAGATAATACGATTCTTCCAAATTTTTGTTTTCCCTGCTCTTGTGGTTGAGTTTCTTTTCATAATGTTTCATGTGGCTTTGTATAGTTTCTCTTCATCACCGTGTATAGTTTGCTTCATCCTACAGGTAGGTGGAGTGATCAAGTTTTGGGATGAAAGAGGCTATTCTAAGTAAAAGGCTAAGTGAAAATATCGATACCTAATACTGAATGTGTTGCAAAGAAGGAGAACATTTTACAAGTCTATTTAGATGATGCAGATTACCTGAGGTTAGTATAATTTATGAAATGTGCTTCTCTATCCAGCATCTTCTTTAGCTCTGGTTTTTTGAATGGTGATAAAGCAAAACTGATTTTAGAATAGTTAAGCATCAAGAAATCAGAACTGCAAATGCTGATATGTGGCTAATGGTCCTAATTATTTTCAGACAACCAGTACTAGAATATGCTGTGATTGTAAAAGCTGTAGACTTTCCCACTGAGAATGAGAAGCTCCAGCTACTCTGTTGTGAATATCCCTGATTTTTAAACACCTCTTCATTTCTGTCCAATGACCTGCTGAGTCAGGCTTAGCAAGGTCAAAATTGCCTAGTAAGCTTTTATGCTAACACCTGTAGTTGTTACCTGTTTGTTTTTTGTGTTGTTTTTTTTTTTTCTTGTGAAAAATATGAAGTTTAATTTAATTAGTTATGCCCAGGTTGTCAGGATTTTTGTGCTTTTACTTCTGTGAAAACTTCCTAGTGTAAAAACTGCAGAGGAAGATTAGTTGCTAAAATTATTAGTTCCTTTTATAGAAGGATTTCTCTAAATTGTTCTGGACACAATGTGTTGAGCATCAGTGCATCCTAAAGCTGAACAAATTTAATATGGTCAGAGTGTACTGTATTTCTCTTCAAAGTAGTTGTGTCAGTATTGTCTGAAGATGCAGGTTAAAGCCTGACAGGTTCCTGACCAGGCTTGTCAGATGTAGGACACCTGTGGTTAAATGCCACATCGTCACTTAAAGAAGGAAGGATGCCTGCAACCCATCTGCTCTTGTAGAGTCCGGAGGTAATTCATTTGCTCAGAAGAGCATACATTATGAAATCTTAAGGACTGGTGGCACATATTAGGCAAATACAGGCCAATCTTCAGTGTCATGCAGGTGGAAGTCATCTCTCTTGGTACATGCAACAACTTGTGCAAAACCACCTCTTTAAGAATGTGTACAGACTGAGGTTGGTATTGGAGCTTGCTGTCAACCACTAAAGTGGAATGGTACCTGTTTTTCCTACACAAAAGATGACACACGTGTCGGTGGAATCCAGAAAGCAGCGTGCTAAAGGTCACGTAGTCAGAAACCATGCCCAAGGCTCATGACCAGCAGGAAGAGGTTTAGCCACTAGAGCATGCTCTCAGGCACAGTTCCTTACTCCCCAGAAAGCTTATTGTCAGAACAAGTAGTTGAGTTCAGTCCAGTACAATCTAGGATGGAAGTTTCAATGGCTAAGAGCAAGCAGTTTCTTTCAGATAAGTTCACTAGTAGACTTGTAGGTGCTAAATCAGTTTGGCAAAATGTATTAACCTGCCAGCTGGCACTTTAGTTTCTATATCATACTGTGTATCACCATGCTCAGAATCCCACTGACTTTCAGTGAGGTTTGGATACTGAATACTGATACTGATACTCAGACTGAATAGTGCTGAGGTCAAATATCGGTCCTGCTGAATCACTTTAAATTACAAGGTCTTGTATTTTTGAATGACAGGATAGGATGCTGTATTTTGGAAATGGGGATTGTCTTGAGCTGAGAACAGACAGATTGGATGAGGTGCCATTTGCGCCATTCTTCAGCTAGTGGAAACCATTGCTATAAAATCCTAAAGATGGTCTGGCAGTGAAACTCAGATTGGGAAAAAGAAGATTTCTGGCACTCTCACCTTCCTCTTTCCACCAGGTATGGCACAGTGTATTGAGATATGCATAGAAATTGTGGTTTAACGTGAGCATTCTGTGGAACCGTGTTCTGTAAAAACTAGCCATCTTCTTCAAGTCCTGGATAGGCTTAGTTTGTCACAGCACAGTTCCAAAGTGAAACATCTTATTTGTTGTCATGGAAGCACTGCTACAGGCTCAGTGTCAAGAGCATCTTCTCCTTGCTCTCCCCGCAGCCTCCAGCATAGCAAGGAGAACCGGCAGAGTGGCTCTGCAATTCACTGTTGCTCTGCAAGGAGTTTGTGGTTGGACTG